TTCCTTCTGAGCAGATTGTTTCTGCCGTTCTTGGCTCTTTGGTATTTTCAAATATGGCAAGTGGCAGTACTGGGAGAGATGCCAGGGTGAGCCTTAATTTTTCAACTATCATCAAGTAATGACAGTTATTTTGATTGTTGAATGTTTCTTTGTTTAATGCTTCTCTTATATATAATGAAAGTACTTTTGTAACCTTTCTGTGCTTTGGCACACAACAAATAACTTAAAATCCATTAGTCAAACATTCAAAATTCCTAATTTTCAGAGGTCGATCTGAAAAGTTTGGATTTTGTTTGTTTTAAAATTTGAAGGTTTTTATGTGCTTTAATATCTGTATTCTTCTCTATCTGTGCCTTTCTTCGGAATCGATGACCAAAGGATCAAGGTTCACAAAGACTAGAAAGAACATCTGGTGGTAGTAGCATGCCAGATTCATCCCAGGTTCAAACTGAACAAGCCAGCATTACAAGTCAATCTAATGGAGCCAATAGTGCTTTTGGACTTCCTGCAGCAGTTTCCTCAGGGCCACTACACTGCAACCTCCTGTGAGTTTGCAATTCTTACTTTCTTGCTAATCTGTCTGCCTCATTGTATGCGCCAAGTGGATTTGTTCACAAAAATAAATCTTGTGGAATACGTCCTTCGTCTAGGTTTTAAGTTTTTATATCCTTACTTTTCTTTGTGTTTGTAGGTAATTCCTGATTCTTTGGCTACTATGTCACAATATCTTAGTCAGATACGGAATGAATTTGATGCCCTTGGTTAGTTTTCCTTTGATAAAAATGTGGTTATACTAGCTCTGTCTGTTGCTGGAAAGCATGTCGGTTCATTGATGATTTGCAACTCATCTGACTAGCAGGTAGAGCTTGGGTAAATGATTCTCAGACATCTTCAATGAGTAGGACTGGATGTAGGGATTCTAATTCTGCATCAAATTCAGAAACTGTACATGAAAGTCTTCCAACACCTGCATCTTTGGCTGAAGTGTTACTCTCTACCAGACAACTGCTCACTGAACAAGCTGGAGAAAGTCTACAAGTGCGTCCTAAACTACCTTTTTAGTTTCTTTCTAATAGCTACCTGTTTACGTAATAACTTCCCTTTTTTAATTGGGTCGTTATTTGGACTACTTGAAAATTGAGGAACTCAATTGTATTTGAAGGAGGGAAGTTGGATGAGGTTGAATTCTTCTTCTTAGCAAGGTTTAGGCTTGCTTCATGGTTCCTAGCGAAGAATAAAGGGGTGTATATTTTTAAAGACTCTCTTATTTCAGACCCCTCGTTAGGGGACGCTTGTTCCATCCATTCTAATATGATTGTATCTACTATTCCTAGGCCTCCTCCTCCTATGGGTTTTGTGAAAATTAATGTTGATGCAACTACGACTAAGGATTGGAAGAAGAGCGGTTTAGGAGGAGTTTTAAAAGATTCCTCTGAATCTACATTAGGGTCTTTCAAGGAGCCTGCTGGTCTGGGGCCTCTAACATTTATGGAGTTAAAAGCTATTCAAAAGAGGCTACTATTCTATGCTGCTTTTCAAGATAGGATACAACACCGGTTGATTATTGAAAGTGACAGCAAGATGGCAGTGGATTGGGTTAAGGGGGTTGAATTCTGTCCTGATGTTTATGCTTATTTGGTTAGAGACATTGTTCACTGGCTTAATGTGTTCGAAGGTGTGGTTAGATGGGTAAACAGGACAACCAATTTAGAAGTTGATGCCTTAGCTAAAGAAGGAATTGGTTGATTAAATGTTGATGTATATGGGTCACAAGGTTGCCTTGTGTTTACCTACTTGTGTTTAGTGTACTTATGGGGATGTACCTTATGTATATTATTGTTATGTTCAATAAAATCCTAAGACACTCTTTTCCTCCTTCCGCTGATTAAGGAGCTTACCAACAAGCACCTTTATTCAAGGAGATTTTTAACGAGACCTGAAATTCTTATAAAAAAAAAACTCTGCTGGCGGAAAGGAGGGGGGTTGTCATGGCCTTGTTGATTTATTTTATTTTTTTGAGTTCTCAATATTTTGTTTTATTATGCCAACGGACAGCAACTTGCAAGGCAACTGGATGATCAAGGAAATGTGATGGACCCCTCAGCACGGCTGCTTGCACAGTCCAATGCATTGCGAATTGTAGCTCTACTGAATAACTTAGGTCAGGGTTTCAAATCACGGTCGCGGTCGTATTTCCGTGATTGTGGCCGTCGCGGGTAACTCGGATGACGGCGAAACCGCTATATCGCGGTCGCATACCGTTTTTTAAAACCCTGCCTAGGCTCACTTCTACTTGAGCTTGGTCGTACAACCATGAATCTACGCTTAGGTCAATCACCGGTAAGATCTATCATTCTACATCCACAACTTTTTAACTCCTTTTCGCATGATTTCTGCTCTGTGTAGCTATAATGGTTTGTTTTGTTTTGTTCTTTGTTGGCAGTCTGAAGCTGTTGTTAATGCTAGACCTGCAGTTTTCTTATCACCTTCTGGTCCTATCCCTCTCATGGTTCGGGTAATGTTCTAACAGCTTAACCAAATCCTCTTATTTGATTTCAATGACTTTTAGTTTTTGCTGATTTATCTATGTTTAGGCTCCTCCTTTTCAACCAGAAGCTAGCTTTGGCTCCATCCCCGAGGGAACTGTACAGCCTGGATCTGGTTCGGTTAATGGACTTGGGACAGGTTTTCTTCCTAGGCGTATTGATATACAAATACGAAGAGGTATGGAATACCTGCCTATTTTCTGTATTTCAATATGTATCATGTATTGGTCCGGAGTCTGATGGTTTACCATAAGGTGTCACTGGCAACACCCAATATCGCTCGAGAGGAACATCCTCCAAACCAATCAGGTCAAAGTAACCAATTAGTGGGTTCTGACATTGAGAATCGTAGCAATCACACAACTTCAAGGGTCTCAGATACACAAGCTTTTGCTGGAGAATCAGGATCGCAAGTAGTTCCTATTAGGACCATGGTTGCTGCTGTACCTGCTCCATTGGGTGGTCTATCTTCAGAATCTTCTGGTGAGAACCCAACTCCTGGTGCTCAACCTGAGCAGCTTCCCATTCCTGAATCTGCAGTGCAACATCAAAGTTCAGAAGAGTCTGCAAGAGATGGTAATATGATAACTCCAATACTTTACCATACTAGTGGCGTTGGATGTTCTTGTTCTGATAAAAGCTTGCCATTATGAACCTTTTTTTTTGTGTGGCTAAACGTAGAAAAAGTTTCATTGGTATTGATGCTGTTGGAAAATGCTGTTCAACGCCACTCCTACTTTACATGGAGCCTGCAGCCATTCCCATGTGGAAAATGGGCTTCCTTTTTTTGTAGTGCTGTTGTTTCCTCAGTGATGTCCGCAGCCATTCCTGGAATTGATCATCGAATTGCTTTGTGCTGCAGGTTCATTACCAAATGCTAGTTCAAGACAACAGGAGCGACCCAATACACGCAGTGTCAATATCAGCATTCTAGAAGCTGGCAGGACTCAAAACAACCATGACTCCGAGAGAGAAATTTGTAGTAGTATTCTTCAGTTCCTAAGGGCAAATTACCCTGGTGGTGTAATTCAGGTAGAGGAAACCAGTTCACAAGGAACAACTACAGATTCTGTCCGAGGGCAAGCAGAAACATTCAGTGGTGCTCCATCATCTGAGCCAAATACTACTGAACAAGGGGTGTTTCTATCTAATTTGCTTCATCAGATAATGCCATACATATCTCAGCATGCAGGTTTACAACAAAGTACTACCGAAGATGCAATTACTTCCACCTCGGTAAAGCATCCTTTTTGTCCTTAGTTATTTTCTTAGGGGTTGATATGTGTCGGGTCTAAACCATGGATTGCCTGTTTGATTGAGGTCTTGCTAATTCTTTCCATGATCAAATGAGGATGAAGAGCTCATGGAAGTAGAGCAATTGGGATAAGAATTAATGTTAAAATGTCGACAATAAAGATATGCTAAATACTGCTGTATTTTGCAGGTTGACAACTCTGGTACTGGGAATTCACGTAGACCAAGTGACTGTGAACCGAACCCAGCAAAACGGCATAAGGTACTGGTTTTATATACTCCTGTTATCTAATCTATCATCTTTTTCCTTTTATCACATTCCCCGCCCTCGGTTTGTCCCTTGTCAACAGCAAGTTTTTTGTTTGAATTTTAGCAAATTTGTATGAATTTTTTTATCATATTATCAAGATATGGCTTTCTTATTGCAGATGGAGTAAACATATTATCAATAGATGTGGAGGATTTACCGAAGCTTTCCATGGTTATGAAATTTGTGATTGCTGGTTCGAGCGCATTCTCGGTATGAACATCGGCGTGACATGTATGTTAAATGTGATAAAATCACGGTCTTTTCCATTTATTGCAAAACAAGAGGTGACATTCCATAATCGATGTTATAGGAGGAAACGTAGGCACAGTTTTGTTTGGGGGGTTTTGACTTGTAACATGGAACAAATATGGTTTTATATGGCATTGAGCTGGAAATTACATTGTCTAATGTTTATCATCAAGCTTCACTTCGTCATCACCGACTTTTGCCTTCCTTCTCTCTATCCATCTCATATATATGTAGGGATGGGATACAAGAATTTATGTTAGGGATGAACTTGTATAATTTTAAAGGTAAAAACAGATTACCAATTGAAAAAAAATATTTAAATTATGCGAGGATTTAAGTATTTTACGTTGTTGATCGATAAAAATATTAGAAATTGATAAAAATGAATAATAAAAATAATTTGATTAATTAAATATATAAAAAGTTGAATGATTTTAAAAAGTCGGCCAAGAATTCAATTGAATGGGCAATATCGGTAAATGAAATCTGAGCCTGAAAGTGACATTTTACGTTAAGCCTTGGCTGTTGCCTGTTCCAGATTGCTCAAACAGTCCATTATCTAATGTATTGTCCTAAAATCCCAGTTTTTCAGACCTTTTTTTAGCAAATAATAATATTAGATTTACGTTCAGTACTATCATCATCTAATGGTTATCATTATTCATTCCCAGATCACAGATTCATCTTTGCTTTAATTCACATGAAAGATTATATTTTTCATAGAGTTTCAGATATCGAAGATCACAATCTTTTTCAATGCAATCCAAAACTCCAAGCCTACCTCTTGGATTCATCCTTTTCCCAACCCTTAAATCCCCACCCAAAACCCTTTTCTTCCACCAAATCTTCATCTTAATTCTCACTTTCTTAGCCTACGCCTCTTTCCACGCTTCCCGGAAACCCCCTAGCATTGTAAAAAGCGTCTTAGGACCCACGGTGCAATCAAATACCACCTCAACCGACACTGGATGGACACCTTTCAACGGCCCGGAAGGAACCCATAGGCTCGGTGAGCTTGATCTTGCATTTTTAACATCATATGCCATAGGGATGTATTTCGCAGGACATGTAGGTGATAGGATTGATTTGAGGCTATTCCTTGTGTTTGGAATGATGGGTAGTGGCCTTTTAACCATAATTTTCGGGTTCGGTTATTGGTTTGATGTTCATTTGTTCAGCTACTTCATTGGAGTTCAAGTTGTTTGTGGGTTTTTTCAATCCATAGGTTGGCCTTGTGTGGTTGCTGTTGTTGGCAATTGGTTTGGGAAAGAGAAGAGAGGGTTAATTATGGGGGTTTGGAGTTCACACATTATTGGGTCTGTTGTGGCTTCTGGGGTGTTGGAGTTTGGTTGGGGTTGGTCTTTTTTGGTGCCTGGGGTACTGGTTATTGTAGTTGGGGTTATTGTTTTTTGTTTCTTAGTGGCGAATCCTGATGATTTGGGGTTCGAATTGGTGGCCAGTGCGAAGGAGATTGAGATGAATGTGGAGGGAGGAAATGCGGTGAATTTAGAAAAAGCGGAGTCGGAGGAAGCAGTGCTGCTTAAGAAGGAGGATTCCGATTCTTTGGCTGCCATTGGATTCTTAGAGGCATGGAAGTTGCCTGGTGTAGCACCATTTGCTTTCTGCCTCTTCTTCTCCAAGTTGGTGGCTTATACATTTTTGTATTGGTTGCCCTTCTACATAAGACACACAGGTATTATCACTTGATGCCAATATTATTTCAGAGTAAACTTGAGTTTTCTTAGGATATCCAGCGAATTTGAATAGAAATGCATTCTCAATAATCTGATCATGGCAATGAATTGTCAGTACTAATTTAAGTCATTTCATATACTAGTAAAATCAGTAGTAGTATTAATAGTGGCTTCGTTAGGCCTATAAGAGATGGTTATATACAAAGTCATATGCTACGGAGACTGCTCTTTGATTAGCTATAGTGGTGGATGTTTATTCATTATTGCAAATTCTTGTTTGAATCGTAGCTGTTGCTGGAGTGCATTTGTCCCATAAAACTGCTGGGATCCTCTCTACTATATTCGATATCGGAGGAGTCTTTGGTGGGGTGCTAGCAGGTTTTGTTTCGGATATCATTGATGCTCGTGGAGTTACCTCAGTTACTTTCTTACGACTATCAATTCCAACACTCATTTTGTACCGGATTTATGGAACTGTATCTATGGTTACCAACATTGCATTGATGTTTCTCTCGGGGTTGCTAGTGAATGGTCCTTATTCACTAATCACAACAGCTGTTGCTGCTGATCTTGGCACCCAAGACTTGATTAAAGGAAACTCCCGTGCATTAGCTACTGTGAGCGCAATCATAGATGGCACTGGCTCTGTTGGGGCAGCTCTCGGGCCCCTTCTAGCTGGGTATATATCTACTAGGGGTTGGAATAGTGTATTTTTTATGCTAATTTTTTCTACGTTCTTAGGTAGTTTATTCTTGATTCGTATTGCAAAAACTGAGATTGGAAGTATGGTAAATGAGGGGAAATGGTTTCGGAGTAGCGTGACTTAAAGTTGATAGGCCTCGGAGGCTCGGACTGTTTAGAGTAGCATCTCATTAGGATACAGCATTTGCTGTTAAAAGTTTTATTTTCCTTACACCTCAAGCTCTATTGTATTTCATTCTTTTATACACACAATCTTCAGTTCACATATACAAGAGAATTTTTGTATCAGAATGAACTTTGCTCATTTTACCCATACCAGATCGAAGTTTGTACTCTCAATAATCCTTCCATAAAAATAAATTACATTTCTAGTTATATTTTGTGTGTATGTAGTATGTATCTGTAACTACCAAGTCCTATCTTTTGCGTCTTGCATCCCAGATATCACCTACAAGTTACGGGTAGATCCCTTCAGGAGCCATCTTTAGCTCACAGGTAATATTATCAGCTTCTGTAACCTTGAGAATAAGAGGATAGCGAAAAAGATGGCAATTAAACTGTCAAAAGCTCAATATCAGCAGAATCAAGAGGATAAAATGTGTGCAAGAATATATCTTTCTTTAAAAATTGTACAGTAACAGACTTATTTTTGTTTACAATCAATTGTGTTACTCAAATTATCCTACACTTCATTATAAGCCAATAAGAATGGCCAGGAAAGAGAATGTATACACAGCAAGATCCTACTAGAACTGCAAAGTATTAATCAGTAGTCTCACCATGTGTACCATGCGTTGAATGTAAACAAATGTAACATAGGTCTATCCTTCTAAGAGGCTTTTGGGACTCTGAAGCCCCTCAGCAGATATACTTCTCCCGTCTGACAGAAGGCTGAGGTGACTCCGAGTGAAAACTCACCACAACAACAGTCAAATTGTCAGTTGCTCCTCTTTTGATCGCTTCTTCAACTATCTCTTTGCAGCATAACTTGACAATGTTGTGGTCCTGGAGCCGCCACCTCGTAAAATCTATGGCGTTTTGGCTAGTGAAAACATCCCATATACCGTCACTACTCACTACCAATGATCAAAAACTCATGTTCCTTGGTCAGTGTTATCATTTTGAGTTCTGGTTTGGCTCTTAGAGGGCCGATTCTCTCACCTGTTTACTTCATACCTTCAAGGTGCCAATCGCCTAATGCACGTGTGACCCCTAGTAGACCATTCAGATAACCATCATCAATGAATCCACCCAGAGACTCTATTCTTCTCCTCTCTTTCATGCAACAGGGCCTATGATCCTTTGACATCTCTATAGCTGTTCCACGCCCTGACAGTACCGCCCTAGAATCCCCAGCATTTGCCACAAGTAAAGACCTGTCAAAGATAAGATATTCCTTTCAAAGAAAAAACCATAAAACTTTATTCCAACATAAACACTAGAAAGCCTTTTGGCTTCGTTCACTTCTCCATAGAAAATTTCGAAGTGCTTACCTCCCAAATATCATCGCAGTGAGAACAGTAGTGCCAGAAGCCAGCGACGACTCAAGAGAGCATGACTTTGCAAATGCAGCATCAGTCCATGAATGACCTGGTGACCACTTTTTCAAGTTCTAAGGGAAAATCAACATCCTCAACAATAACTCTAAGCAAATGATTACGGACAAAACGAGATGCATCCTTCCCTCCGTGTCCATAAAAAATCTGCTCCTTTTACGTCAATGACTAGAGTGCTTATGTATTTCCTGGTGTCTTATGTCTATTATGCTTTATTTAATGTGATTCCATAGCATTCGTTTTGGCTGCGAGAATTAGTTTCTAATCTAACAGAAAGCTATTCAGTTAAAGGTCATTTTTTATTGAAAATAGATAAAGGTCTGCATCAAGATCGTTAAATGCCGCCTTGTATCAGCTTCTTTTTCATTTTTCTTTCCTTTTTTCCCTTTTAACAACCCTGCAGCAAATTTATCATGGAGCACTTCTGTTTTACATCCTTGTTTTGCGCATACCACAGTTAAACTAAGAACAAAACCCAAAAAGAACACAATACCACCAGTTCTTGATGGCTCGAATCATGTTTAAGTTCATATGCTGAGAAAAGTGTTATAATTGTGTTCACTCTTCAGGAAGGCTATATAATTTAGGAATATTTCTTTTCTGGGTTCATTGAGATGCAACTTTTAAGACGGTCAATGTTCAGAACAGAACCTGCAGTAACTTTCAAGTTTCAATCATTTGTTAGAAGAAAAAAGATCCGGCATTTGATAAGCATCCAGAGAATAAAATTTAATGATGGGGAAGACAAGATAGATTTAGTGATGACAAAAGCACATTCATCTTTCCAATTAAGTCGATTGCGTGAAAGTAACTCATCTGAATTACTGCAAGATGACCCACCACATCAAGATTCTACACCTAGAAGGAAGATGAGAACAATTTATCTCCATATTCTAAAATAAAACAGTATTAGAGGCAAAGATATTGGAAAGTCCAACATGCCAATATATAAGAAAAAGAGGGGTTTACGAACCTACACCATAGAAGGAAATAGCTTCTTCATTCACTAAATCACAACCAAAATTCTTGGCCAAGTCTGCGATGCATATATGAGTATCCTCCATATAGGGACGACCCCCAATGTCGGACCACTCGCCTGACCGAAGTGTGGGGATAAAATTTGTCAACGGGTTATTTTTTTTCTGTGGCAACTGAATCCTCAGAAATACTTTCTAGCTGAAAGAAAAACAAATAAAGAGATTATCAATCTGAAGAAGCATGGTCAAGGGAAAGAGAACTATAATTTACAAGTGAACTTGATCCTGTCTGGATAATTCCTCAAAAACTGAAATTGTTACCAATGAGTGATTTTCAAAGGGCATACGAAGACTTGGTTTCCATATTGAAAATATGGTATTTCCTTGTGAGATTTATATGCACCTAGCTTCTCCCATTCTATTAGCTTGTTTCTGGGGAGTAATTCTCCAAGTTTCATACCACAAAGAACTGGATTTGGCTATTTCACATAACATGTTGGCAATAATAGCACCGAAATTCTCAAAGCAAAAAAAGAACCAAAAAGATAAGTACGCAGAACAGAATTATAAGAAACTGTCATCAAAGCTACATACTTCTTAGAAAACCAACACATATACATCCCAACCAACAAATTTCTCAAAATGACATCAAAAGCAACCCTTTTCTTGGCTGACCTGCTCTTTATCTTCAACATGCATGATGTTGATATTGTTGATAAGAAAAGGCAGGGAAAAGAGATGGTAATTTCTGTCTGATGCCTTTTTTTCTTCTTTATTTCAGCTTCTCAGCAAGTTGTTGAGCGTACCCAGAGTAACAAGAGCCAAGAAAATAACAAAAACAAGTAAAGAATCCGCAGGGAAATAATGGAGTGGAGAGAAGAAATTCTTGAGAATATGTTGCTATTATAATATTGATGAAATAACAATTCAAAGCGTGGCTGAAAATCACTGTGCTGGGTTGGTATGGTTAGGTTTCTTTCCTATAGCTTTTTTTAGTGTTTTTCTTATGTACTTCAAGTATCTATATTCTTTATAAGATGGACATGATCAATGAATCTAATACAAATACTGAATTTAATGAATACATGTATTTAACTGTGAAAATAAATTTTAAAATAGTAATTAAATATTTAATATTAATTCAAGGAATCCATAAATGCAAAATTTCTGATGTTAATCATATACCTAAAGTTTTTTTATAAACTAAAATTATTATTAATGGGATATTTATTAGTAGAAAATAAATAATTTTTTAATACGTACCACTTAATCGATTAAGTGCTGCAACTAATTTTCATTTTTTGGTTATATAAATTAACATAAAATATATAATCTTTTATAGAGATGTTTAGATTTTTTTTTCTAACAATAATACTTTTTTCGTCGATGATAAAAAATCATTCTTATCAATATCTTAAATATTGAATATTCTCTCCTTTGGATTATATTACTCTTGAGATAAGAAATTACCCTTGAAATAAGAAGTTTTGTTGATATGTATCCATTGCTATATTTTCAATTAAATAACTAATTATTTTTCGTATAAATTTATTAAACATTTTTATTTAATATTTTAATAATTAATCTATTTTATTAACATTTATTTATGATTGTTTTAATATTATATGATAAGATTGCATGTTACTGGAGAGCGAACAAATTAAGAGTTAATGTTTTAATAATTTTATTCAACCAGCATGATATATACTGGACGGTACCTCCAGAGGTCTGTGGTGAATGAATTGAACTGTTGCAGGGTACATGAGAATACTGAAAGTTCAATCAACGTTTCAAACATTATAACCAAACTTCTGCACTTGATGCAAATGATCAGAGTTTTTCTTTAGATAAAGAAAGAAAAGATGATAATATAATTGGGAGCAGGGTTTCAAAAAACGGCCCGCGACCGTGATTTCGTCCGCGATATAGTGGTTTCATCGCTGTCCGAGTTACCCGCGACGGCCGTAATTGCGTCCGCGACGACCGCAATAGCGCCCGCAATCACGGTAAATCCGAAATAACCGAAAATGCGACCGCGATTTGAAACCCTGATTGAGAGTATCTTCAAAACCCGAACGGAGAAAACATAAAACATCTAACAATCAAAAGGTTCTTCAACTCTAGTGGCAGTATGTGCATTTTAGTGGCTTCTCCAACAACCTCAGACGACCACGGAAAATACTTACACCTTACATTCCAGTGAAAGCTTTCTTTTCTCCACCAGAAGATCCAGCAGGGGATCACTTTCAAAACATTGAACCTCACGGTCTTGGACAATGGCCTGAAATATGAAAGTAATAAACAAATTACAGAACTAAAACTAACTGAAAATTATTAGATTCATAAACAAGAGAGATTATATATCATTATGTTTTAACCTGCATTGCCCGATAATGACGTGATCTCCTTCCTTCACACGGAAGCATGGAGAAATATGTGCAGGTATGTTCGAATGTCTCTTCTCGTACCTGAAAATAGAAAACCAAATGTTTCTACAAAAATGAAAAAGGTAACTCTTTAAGGAAAAGCAGAGCAAAATGAAGCAGGATCATGCCTTCGGTATTTCTTGATGAAATGAAGGTAATTCCGTCGAACAATGATAGTCCTTATCATCTTGGCACTATGTCAAGTACCGGCTAAGATGCGGCCCCTGATGGAAAACGGTGCCGGTGAATGGACATTTCTTGTCTATGTAGGTTCCTTTAGAAAAACAAATATGCAAAACATTATTTAACTGAATTCTATAAGCATAGAGATGCACGTTCTACATATTCCTTCCAAACATCAAGCTCTAGGTGTTATTCAAGTGAAGTAAATCATCCCTTATTTCTTATAAAGAACATTGGAACATAGATAAGTGCATATAATATACATAAATAAAGCAATTATTGATAAACATGATACTAAATCTCCAGGTAGCTTAAAGAAATATTTATTCAGCTTACGATACTAAATGCAAGAAACCAATTAACACTCAACGCTTACACATACAGAAGAAAAACAAACCTTCAATGGCTTCACGGGGAGTCTTGAAGCCTAAACCGATGTTCTTCCAGTAGAGGTTCCCTCCCTTACCTGGTCTCTTCCCTTTCGCAGATTTCTTCGAGCTGAGAAAAGAAACAAAATCATTAAAGCCCACCTAAACTCAAAAAACCCAATCCGAGAAAAGTAAGAAGGTGGCAGATTTTTCATGGTTTAGTGCTACGATTACCTTAAAAAGACTTTCGGTTGCTTCAGGAACGCCTTCTCGGTCTGCAATCAAAAGAGAAAAGGTTGAGAAGTAAAGAATGTAAAATAGAGACAATGGGGACAGAGCAGATCGGCGTGTGCACCTGCTCGGCCATGGTTGATGAGCAATGCTTCTTCTTCTGCTGCTGCGGAGAAATGAGAGAGAATTGCTTATGCTGTGACAAAACCCTAACCTATCTAATAGATCCGCTTTCGTAATTGGGTGAGTTTGGGTCAGATAATCGAATTGGGCCTTCAGAATTACGATTCCACCTGCAAATTGAAAAGATAAGAACAAGCCGAAAATGTTATTAGACCTTTTTTTTAAAGTATACAATAACCAAAGATGCCAGCAAATTGCAGCAAAGAGTAAATCCAAATTTGCAAAATGATGAGGGGATTTGATATTAGTACAAATCCATTCATTAACCTATATAGACAAGATCGCAGGCTGACTGGGCTCAACAATCACTGACCAAATTGGAAGGGCAACCCTACACTGTTTTAAGACAAGATTCACGTCCTCCGCATGTTACCATATATTGGACAAGATGCACTATCAGTCATGAAGAGGCGGAGATGGATTGAAGAGGGGACAATCATTTTCTCTTCGAATTTTATAAGTTTAACCCTTGATATAAAATCTTATGTTTGTTGACGTGACAATGTGCCCTTTCCTCATTTCGTCAACAGCTATTGGGCATTGAAGGCAGTACATACAAGCTCGTATATATGTAAAGATAGTTATGGATTCTTCTACAAATATATCATTTTGTAGCATCTTATCTCCTCATGACATAAATGGAATTATTAAGTGTAGCAAACTGAGTAAATGGGATCTTTTTTGGCCTTGCATAATTGCATCATACTCTTGATTAGCATAATCAATAAAAATATATATCCGCAAATTGAGCAAAAAATCAGGAATATTTACTAAGAAGAACAGAGTTCTTCTTTAACAGTTAACGCATTGGTACATCTTAAAACTTCAGAAATGGTTGCAAATGTCTAACAGCAAAACATGATAATACAAATAAATGATATATGGCAGCAGTTCCTCGGTTGGTTGTTCTCCTAATCCAGCAAAGAAGAGCCATGCCTTTGGTTCCAAAAGGGGTTGTGATCTTGGAAGAAAGCTAATTCAGGATTATTTTTGAAGCCCTTAGTAGCACCACTGGTGTTGTTATCAAAGAGATTCGGGTGGCAGTTCTCAATATCATCTTCGAAAGTTGTCCATCGCAGTGAGTATTTTTTATGCTTCTGCCTGGTAATATTTCTCATGCTCTCCATCTCTCCTACATGCTCCTTGAATTCTTTCTTCACCACATCCAGTACAACTTCTCCATATCTATCACACCATGATCTTGAAATATGAAAAAAAAAATAAAGTAGACAGAGAGAGAATGAGAAATAGAGAAGTTAATGGCTAGCATATATGGAAATGGAGATTTTTTAGCATCCTTACTTGGGGAAGAACTTTTTGAGGCCAGTATTGTCCACAGGAAGGGTTGTGGAAATTGCTTCAATTTGATCATTCCTAGTGGAATTACAACAAACTTAAGCAAATCTGTAAAAATAAGAGTTATCAAAATTACTCCAAATGAAGGGTTTGATGGAAAGAAATTGCTTACGAAAATTTAAGATTCGGGTTGGTAGTGGAGAGCTCTGCTTGAATTCGTGATAGCTCCTTCTTTATTTTGTCTCCTAAGACCTGCAGGTGTAACTCAGATATAAGCCAAGACTAGTACACAATTAATAGAACCTTTTTTTCTTCTTCTTTTTTTGTAACATTGAGATGAACCTTATCAATGAAGAAATCTGATGGAGCTCCATCTGAAAGCAGCTTCCTCTTAATCTGTTTTGTATCTGGCCCCTCTCCTATTGGAGATGCAACAACTTGGCATGACCCCATGAAAGCTTCATTATCTGATCTCTCATTCAAAGGCAAAGGAGCAATCTCGTCCTCTGAATCATTTCTCCTCCATTTCTTGATTCCATCGAAACCCCATTGTTTCTTTGCTGATTTTGATGCTTTCTCCTCTGAACCAGGGCCATTATCACCACCTCCACCATCATGTCCCTCTCTTTGCTCTCTATGAAACAGAGTTTTAAATGGTTTTCTCTTTGCCTTGTCAGTTCCACTACCATTTTCCTTCATGGATTCTATTGGGAATGTTTCTTCCTGCATTAGAATAGATTTGGTTTCACTTTCCTTCCCCTTCAAATGACTATCCCAGAAAGGGTTTTCCTTAGAACTCACCATAAAGGCAGATGGTTTTGAACCGGACAATCGAATATGCTCTTTTCTGATCTGTTTTTACTTTGCTTATGAGATGATCCAAACCCAAAAACCGATGCTGCTGTTTTGATCTGATTCATTTTCGAGTTGTTCTTCGATTTATTATTGGAATGCAATACATTGTCTCTGTTACCGCTGCAGTTTTCATCCTTCAAATCAATGACAGACCATTCTTCTTCCTGATTCTCTCTCAAATCTTTCAGATTCCCAACGACTACATCCCTGGCCTCAATTTCAGCTCCTTTTACCGCTAACCGCTGCAACGAAGGCCTTTTCGAAGAATGGTACTCTTCCTCTGATATACACTTTGCATAAAACAATTCCTACACAACAAAGGAAACCAAATTCGAAGAACAATTATCATCTAATCTTAAGAAATAGAAAGATAAACAAAGTGGGGTTTAGATGATACATGCAAGAAGAGCAATTTATCTCGCAATATAACAGGCTGTTCAAGTTCAGGTGGGGATGCAATAAGGGTCTCAAGCAAATGAGTTCTAAAAGCAGTAACCTCAGCTTCACCCAGGATCCCTTCTTTATGCTGATCCATCAAGTTCAATATCTGGTGAAATGAATCCTGCTGCCATTTGAGATTATCAGATTGAAGCTTGGAAAGACTGAGTTCAGCAGCTGGTAACCTCTTTTTCTTGAATGAAAAAGGGAGGATTTGCTTGCAAAGAGAAGTGATGGAATCATGGAGAGTGGAGTAGTATGTTGGGGTGTAACTGTACATCTTTTTTGACCTCTTGGCTTGTTGGTAAGAGCTAGAAAATGGGTTGAGTCCAGAATTTCAATCGATGATTTTAGTTTCCAGAGCTTTGATTCTTGAATGACAATTTTGAAGGAGGTGGGGTTGTTGTTGTTTACGGGATTTTTGAATCTTCGGAGAGAACTTCAAACGGTAACTTGAAACTAGCCGTTGAGACTTAAAAGAGAGAAGGAAACGCAACGCCAATTATCTGTTGCCCAACTCTGTCGTTTTGCTACCTCTATCATTTTTCTAAGGTTAAACTACAGAAATGGTCACTTACATTTTATTTTTTACACTTTTTCTCACCAAATTTAAAAACGTTAATTTTTTGTCACTGAGACGTTGAACACCGCTAAATTGATGATATGACACGTTAATAAAAAAGGTTAGTTTTTGTAACCCCTGAACTTTAAATAAAATATTAATTTAAATAAGTTCATGGATAAATTTTCAATTTATCTCATTTTAGGGATTAATTTCTTTTTATAAATTTAAGGAAGTTTAGGGATAAATTTTCAATTTATCACATTTTTTAATATGTTTTTCTTCAACTCAATTTTTTGAAACAATAACTTTCCTTCAACAGCACCGCACGCCCCCGTCGTTGATCAATTCGACTTTCAAAAGCACTTCACAAACATACTCGTACACCAAAACCCATGATATTGACAGTCCAATTGGATTTGATGTGTTCTTCCACTTCAATGAGCAAAGAAAACCATGTAAAGGAAAGAAAAAGAACTTCCCTAATAATTCGTTCGTCGGTCACCTTCCACCCAAGATAGAGCAAAGAAAAAGGCAACCGATCGAGAAACAGAAAAGAAACTCGAGAACTTGAGAATAACCATGCCGACGAAATATGAATGCCAGCAGCAAGTAAACCCGGAAAGATTATGTCTATGTTTCTTTTTAAAGAGCAAAAATAAAAAGAACAATGCCGCCTCCATTGATGCATTAAAGTTTTAAACAGTTCAAAGAAATAAAAGAATAATGAAGAAACCAGAGCTGAGAGTACATCGAAACAAAAGTAGTAACAAAACCCCAAAGCAATACTACTCAAAGGGAAAAAAAATTGGGTCGTATTTGTTATCGAAATTAGTAAACCACGAGAGTTGGTCTGACCTCTTATTTTTCTATTTCTATTAACAAATTAAATTAAATTTAACAATTCTCTCAAACTAAAGAGTGTGCTATTGCTCCTTTATAGAATCACGTACATCCGTCATTAAGTTATAGGTTCAAACAGTTACGTCTATAGGATATGTGTGTATTGTCAATGATTAAGAAGTATTGTGAACATATATTATCTTGTAGTCACATCAAACTATTAAAAAAATAGTTAATTGCACCATATGTCCTCAAATTATGATCTTTATTTTAAATTAATCCTTAAACGTTTGAATATACTAATTTCATCCCTAAACTATGAACATTCTAATTCACCCCCCAAATTCATCCAAATATGTATTTTGTTTCAACTATAATTTTACTAAAATATTATTTTTTTTCAAACATATATTAATATAACTTGGCCTAAAAATTTTATTAGCAAGGGAATTGTTTAGTATATGTGTATAGTTTGGGATGAAATTGAAATGATAAAAAAGTTTAGGGATTAATTTAGAATGAAGGCCATAGTTTAGCGATGAAACTGAAATGTTCAAAAGTTTAAAGATTAATTTAGGATAATAGTCATAATTTAAAAATGAAATTAAAATATTTAAAAATTTAAGGATCGATTTAAAAATAAAAATTATAGTTTAAAGATGTGTGATGCAATTAACTCATATCAATAATCTATAATCAGTTTAAAGAAACAAGATGCATGCATGTTGCTTGCCTATGTATCCACCTTGTGTCCTTTCTTTTCCTCTCTCTCTCTCTACATGTTTTGATGTGTGTTTCTTATATTGTAATAATATATGATTATTGAACAATTCAATACTGTAAATTTTTATATTATAACTTTTGTATTTTTAAATGTATTTGTAGATAGATTTATTTATAGGGAAATATTGATTAGAGAATGTAAAATATTTTATAAACTCCGGCATAAGCGGAGGTTATTACTAGTATAATCTTAATATACTATGAGATTTATATACTTCAAATGCATATACTTGTATCTCTATTAATGATTAAAAGAATTATTATGATTTTTAGAGTTAATAAGTTTGAACACCACCGAACTGCAAAGTTCTGGTGACTGATAGTTGATTTATATATATCTATATATATCCACTGAGAATTTGCCCTCAGCAACATTTGTGCTTTGCTACTGTATTCTTTGTGTGTGTATGTGTTATTTTCCTTTGTATCCTTCTTTAGCTCAGTCTTACATGGCGCTTAACCTCACCACCGTTGACGGAAGCGCTGCCAGTGAAACCTGCAAGGCAGAAAACAGCACTTCAAAAACACCACCAACAATCAAAGAGATCATCTCCACCCTTCCTACAGAGAAGGGCTGGAAAGTGTTCCAGCAGCTTTGTTTCTACCAAGGTTTCTGGCGCTTCCCTCTCCACCTCGAAGGATCCATCTTTGCTCAACGCCATTTCAAGGCAACACCGAGTGACGTCCTCTTATGCAGCGCTCCCAAGACCGGAACCACTTGGCTCAAGGCCTTCAGTGTCGCAATCTTCACTAGAAACAGTGTGGGAGATGAGTCTATGAACAGCCTTTTCTTCAACAAGGTTCCCCATGAGTGCATCATGTTCTTAGAAAAATATTTCATCAAGAACCCCAGTGTTCAGTCTGATGAAAAAAGGCTCCCACTTGTGGCCACTCACCTCACTTACACCGCCTTGCCGAAGAGCATACTCGATTCAGGTTGCAAAATGGTGTACATTTGCAGGGACCCCAAGGATGCATTTGTCTCATTGTGGCACTCTGCAATGGGTATAAAAGCCAACAACAACCCAGATCTCCCCATTGATGTTGCTTTGGAGTTGTAATGCAAAGTGCAAAGGAAGATCAAATTTCGGCCCTTACTGAGACCATGTGTTGGGGTACTGGAAAGCTAGCCGAGAAAACCCAGAGAATTTTTTTTTCATGAGGTACGAAAACCTCCAGACTGACACCATTTCTGAAGTGAAAAAGCTGGCCGAGTTCTTGGGCCACCCTTTCTCCTCCGAGGAAGAAAAGCAAGGGTCGGTGGAAAAAGTTATCAGCTTATGCAGCCTGCAAAATCTGAGCAGCTTGGAGATCAACAAGACTGTGAAATATGGAGATGGTGAAAGGTCAATCAACAACGATGTCTACTTCCGAAAAGGGAAGATCAGCTACTGGAAAAACCATCTGACGCCTGAGATGGGAAAGAAGCTCGACGATATCATGGAAGAGAAACTAAGTGGGTCAGGGTTTACATTTCTTCAACCCAATTAGCCACTAAAAAGGAACAACTGCTCCCACTTTCCCAGCATTTGCTTTCCTTTAGGGTTTCTGAATAAATAATTCTGTGTTTGTTGCATTGAATAAGAAAAATGCTTGCTTGCAAATCTGCGTTGGAGTACGGTAGTCCAGGTTTTTCAAGTTATCTTTGTTTTTAAATTGCATTTTCATCTTCTTCGTTGAAATTGCATTTTCTACTTATGTAATTGTTAATATTAATATTGTGACAATTTTAAACAGATAAATAATAACATTTTACTTTAAATGTTAATATTGTTACAATTATAAAAATTAAACACAAGCAAAATTTTGGAATAATTTTATTATAGAATATAGAAATAATTTTATTATAAAATAAAATGGAAATAGTTTAAAAATAAAAACAAATTACGATAAATTGGTAAGAAACTATAAAATTTTAACAAAATAGTACTTATCAGGGCTGGAATTCGATGGTCCATCTAGAACTTCAAATTCAAACATAATTTGATAGGTTTCCTTATAATATAAAACATGAATATTATGTCTAATATAGGTATTAGTTGATAAATTTTAAAAAAATAAATGTTAAAAAATTAAGTATTGAATAATTGGTTCGATTTTATGTTTAAATCTTAAAAGGGAAGGCGGTGACAATAAGGGGCGGAGCTTAGTGAGGGGCCAAAGGGGCTCCGACTCTGTTAAAATTTATATTTGATATAATTTTGGTCTAATAGTATTTTAGTTTATGTAAAAATAAATATTTAAATTAAAAATATAAGAATTGATTAAATATTTAATCAAGTAAGGACCGAACTAAAGAAAGACAACTCGTGTTCTCAAATTTTTTTGTCTAACAATTTAGGTCATTGTAAGTTTAAATA